TTATTTTGAATGAATCAAATTGAATGTCTAGCTATAAAAGGACTTTATTTTTGCTTGTGATTCTGTATATTTTTGTCTTTTTTAAGCTAATAGTTTTTAGTTAACAGTCTGTCCATTAATCAGATAGATTTACTCCCTAATTAAGACTATAAACATTTCTAAAATGAGGAATTACAAAATACTTTTATTATTTTACTTTATAGAGAGGGATAATATTGCTAGGAACATTATGTTTAAAATTTTGACTGCATTTAGAATAAGCTAGTGCCATTGCCTTGACCCTTTATCTCTTTTTTAAACCCGCTGGCTTTATTTTTTCTGATTTTGTCTCATTAGCCATATGGGGAAGTATTAGAACTGGAAAAAATGTACAGAAAGGTTTGGTGTATAAAAAGACTTCTCCATATTTGCAACAACTGAGTAAAGTGATTGTGTTTCTGAATGCAAGATTCTAGAGGATGAATAAAATTCAGTAATTACTTTAAAAAGATGAGGGAGGTACCCACCTTAACGCAAAACCATTAGATACCACTTTCAGCCAAGAGTTATAGGTATAGGCCAGGTTTCGTGGTAACAAATTCCAGAGAAGCATAGACTCTTTGTTTTGGATTGAACTCTGTTTTTTTAAATAGTATTTGAAATGTATGGTTCAGGTTTTATTGTTATACCAGCATTACAGGCTGTAACAGGCTGTAGCTTATGTTGTAGTCCATTCTCTGTACATGTGTATACCTTTTTTCTTTGCAAAATACGTTTTTTTTTTCAAAGTGGCCAAGATTTTGTCATTGCCACAAGTGGAAACTAGATTTTCATGAGCAAAGATGAAGTTTCTAATAATAAATTATGGGCCTCTTAAATCCTATTTTTATTCTTGTCTTTATATTTTTTACAATTTGAGAATATTTGATTTTATTTTCTTAAAATAAATTAGGAATTTTAGTTTTACATGTCCACTTTCACTTTTTTAAAGCTTGTAATACCTTACTTTTTCCTTAAATTCACACATTGCTCTCTCTAAATGTTGGTTTCAGGGAAAGTTGTTTAGTAATGTGGGTTCCTAGCTAGGGCAAACATCGTCTGTGTAAATAAACACAGCACACAGCTCTCCTTTTACCTTGTTTAGGAATGCACATTCAAGTCCTGTAATGAAGCAATAAGAAAAGACTACTTTGGCAATGTACTTGGTACCTTATTAAGTAAAATTTGCTATTTTTCTGGTGGGTATATGATATTTGACTTATTTACAAGAACACAGGTGGCTCCTGCTTTTAGTACAGAGGATTATTTAGAACTGCTTTAGCAAAGAACTGAAGAGGATCTGACAGGATTTTAAGAACCATACCAGTGTTGTCACAGCATAAGTACACACACCTTAAAAATAATGCCAGGTCTTCCTGTACATGCATTTCTTTCTATAAGCACTTCAAGATGTCTGTTTCTTTGAACATTCTCACAGCATTGGATATTCTGCAGGGTGGTTTCTAGATGAAGGAGGGAATTATATAAGAACAGGGCATTTTCTTTGGAAAGTCTTTAAAATTCCTTCACTCTCCGGAGGCAAAAAAGTTGGATTTTGATTCTGAGTTCATAGTACAAGGTGTCTCTTTTCTAGTTTGGAGGGTAAATGTGTTTCTGGGCAGGGAGTCAGTAGTTTCCACACTTGATGGTTGTTATAATGTTTGTTAGGATTGTAGATGGCCAGTTTATTCTTTTAAAAGTCTGCCTTTATTAATCTGCAATAGGCAAGATTTTTTTGTTTTGCTTTTTGCTTTTTAAGGAATGAAAAAAGTTAATTGTAATAGGTTAAGCAGTTAAGGTAGCCCACTAGGTTGGAGGTCAGTCTGATGGGAAGAGCTCACAATGGTGTAACATGCCTCTTAGGCTCTTATTAGCCATAGTTAGACTAGTGGATTTAAATGATTTGATAAAAGCATGTTGCATTTCAGTCTAAGGAAAAAGAATGGATCCCTATTCAAGGAAGAAAACGAGGTACCTTCAGTAGACAGAGAAAGGGAAAAGTATCCCCTATACTGCTATAAAGCCCCATTTATTTAAAAATAACAGCCAGATATATTTCTCTGATGTTCTAATCTAACTCAAGATTAGAAAATGCCTCTGTCTGTGGAGAAGGAACTCAAATCAATTACTCAAATTAGTGAAAATACCTGACATAGCAGCTACTCACGTATCAGTCTCTTATTGGGCCAATAAATCATCTATTCTCTCTTGCTGCCCTTTCCTCATTCCTTACTCTCTTTTTTCCTTTCCTTTTCTCCAGGGGGATAGGGTAGAGCAAGGGGAGGAGCTTTGGGCACAAGAACACACATGTAAACTTTATACTACAATAGGTGCTATTATAGAGTTTGCCTACAGTACAGAGGAAGCCAGAGGAGAAAACAACCAACTTGTAATATGGAGCCACTTGAAAGACTCTACTAGAGTTAATAAAATTCCACAAGGATAGGGATCATGTCTTGGATGGAACTTTCAGTGCCTTACTCATAAAAAGGACTCAGTAAACAGCATTTTGGTTGTTGGTACAATCTGAAATCTAGGTATATTAGCAAATTCCAATGAATTTGCCAATTGGAATATGAGGCAAAGATCCAGGTTTATGGTTTTAGCATCAGCTTTTATAAACTGTGGGGTTTTAAGCATTCACTCTGTCTTTCTGAGCTTCATTTTCCTTATCTACCTATTGGTGATAATAGCTATAAGCCTCAAGCAAAATAACCTATATTTTAACCATAATAATTTTCAAAGGGTTATTATCTATTAGCTCCTTTTAGCTTCACAATAAATGAAATAAGTAGAGCACTTACTCTGATCTCCATTTTGCAGATTTGAAGAAAAAACTAAAAGACAGAATGACTTGCAGTTACATTGATCCAACAAACATGCTCTACACTGTGAAGATAGATACAGGGAGGAAAGATCCAGTTTCTATACTCAAGGAACTCTCAATATAGAGACTGAATAGTAATAGTGTTCACTCTAAGCAAGACAGGATCTTCAAAGGAGCTCCATTTCCACTCTGAGTCTTCTTTCCTGTGAAAGGAAGGAGATAGTGATTAGCTAGTCTTCCTTCAGCCCACGTACACTCAATGTATACCGACCCTCAATTTTAAGTTGTAAAAGCAAATCATGGAAAAATTTATTCCTACCACATGTGAGTAGCCTGTGTGATAATAGTGATCTGTTATTCAGTGGCATGAGTATGGGATCATAACCACACTGTGAAGTGACCATTCCCAAGTCTTCCACAGAGTTATCTCACTAAATGTAATTGCCGCTTTCAGACATCATTTCCTCATTTATGTGGCCACAATTGTATATCCTAGCTGCCTGGGACATGACACAGTTTGTCTGTCCCCATGAGCATTGCTGTTGCTATGCAGCAGAACAGAGAAGAAAAGAGGAAAAAAGAGAAACAGTATAAACACTTGACTATATGTTTACTTTTTTTTTTCCCCTAGTGAAAAGTGAATCTACCAAGAAGCTTGGCAATGAAAATTGAGCATTTTTCTGTGGAAGGTGAAAATTTCCAGACAGTTGCAGAGGATTATGCATTGATGGGCTGTTGGATGATTAGGGTATTATCAACAGATGGTTGGAATTTTTTGTTTGTCTAAAAAGTAATTAAACAATCTAAACTTTTAAAAAAATGTATTTTATAGCCTGTTGAATTAATTGACTTTTGTAAGACCAGAGACCCTTAGTCATGTTAAGAACTCTCATCAGCATAATGCTTCATAAGCCCTGGCTTTTAATATGCTTAATTCCATATGCTGAAAACTTTTTCATTTGTTAGTGTGATGTAACACCAAACCTAAAGATCACCTGTATCAACCACAAAGTTGGCATTCTCTGTAGTAGAACCTCACTAAACAGAAAGGCCATGCCTGATGTACATCTAGCCACAGGAGAAGAACTAATCTTCCATCACTTGCCCATTCTTGGCTTTGAGGTTTATATATGTAAATTATCACTTTTGTAACAACTTTCATACTTGGTAAACTCCCCATACCATGTCTTGTGCTGGGAAGGTGAATAAGTACTATTAACAGCTATTTTCTTATATTCAGTTCAGAAAATCAGTGGCTTCACATTGTTTGAACCATCAGTGCTAACGAATTTGGATCTACGTTTTCATACAGTGAGCTATGTCTTATGAATTCTGTGCCTTTCATCACATTCCCAATCCACTCTCATCATTACCACACAGGGATGTTGTGATGACCAGTTTTAAACTGTGTTTTGATGTGTCTAGCAATAACTAAAGAAAAAAAAACTTGGAGCTCTTCAATGTATTATTGAAATGTATATGTATGTATTCATGTATATACATGGCTTAATTTATACCTTATGGCAGCTCTGTATACATTATGATCTCACATATTGAAAAGTTTCCTAATTTTATTGGAATGTATAGCATTATAAAAATACAATATGTCTATGAAAGAGTAAAAGATTATTACATCTGTATTGCATGTGTGTACTTAATGGTTAAAAAACAATGATAAAAATTGGACATTAATGAAATTCATTTTTAGTTTACAATTGGAATAAGTTTTAGAGCAAAAAGAAACCAGAGACATTAGTTAAAGAGACTCAGAAAGATTAGAAATCTGAAAAGATAATGAGATATAAGCATTGAGAAACTTGTAGAACACAAATATATATAACTTCAGGTAGAAATTGGAGAAGAGAATTCAAAAACAATAATGCCAAAAAGCCCCTTGGTATAAAAGTAATAATGGAAATGTGATTCATAGAAAATAAGGCCTTGTAAGTTGGGGGGGGAGGGAGATCTCTCTCTCACGCTCTCACTATCTCTCTCCCCTCCCCCTGCCCAAAAGCAACTTCAGGAATCTTCTGGTATAGTGAAGAATTTGTATGGAATTATGTTGTTCACATAAATGGAGAGACAACTAAATGGGATTTCAAGGAATTCAGTTTTAATCTAAAAGTGAAATGTATCTCATTGAAACGGGAAAGAAATAAGATGAATGGAGTCAAACATGTCATAAAATTGTTATTGGGAAAAGTGAGATAAAGTACTCAAAAAGAACATGTGATCTGAATATCAGGGTGGAGAGGAATTTCTTACAGTGAAATTTGTTATGTAGTCTCAATTCCGAGAAAAGTGTCAACTTCCATCCCTCCTAGTTGAAAACTGGACCAAACTCGAACAGTTTATCCTCTACTTTCCCCTGCCCAGAAGGAAAATGAAAGAAAGAAAAAAATATATATCTATGTGATCTAATGCATCTTTGCCATCTTTATTTTCTAGAATTCTATTAGACTTTTCAATTTTAGGCTACTTCCTAGGAAAGAATTTAAATATAACCATTAGCTCATTTGTTTAATATACAAATTTATACCCATAGGATTTGTAGTAAACATGTGTTTTAGTGGTAACCATGTCAAAAGCTTGGAGGGTATGAAATTGGAATAATTCACTGCAAACCCTAGAAGTTGGTAGCATTAAGACCCAATTTCTTTTTAGAGGCCCTCTCCATTTTGGATTCTTGACAAATTCTGATGAGTAAACAAACTCCTTGACCCATATTAAGTTCAACATCCTGCATTTTGTTCATGAATGACATTTTAAAAGGAGAAAAACTCCACTTGGCTTTCTTTATTTTTTATACAATAATTTCAAAGAGAAGTTGGGCCTTTTGTAATTGCTAATTATTACATATGGGATCCTTAGCTATAAATTATAGTAAATAAAACTTGCACCTCTTCCTATTATAAATGTGAGTTAAAGAAAGTTATAATAAATATTTAAGATTCCAAAGTGTGGTTGAACCAATTTGTTTCTCTGAAGCAAGTAGCAGGATTCAGGTTTCATGATATATTTAATATAATAAAATGTTAAGCACATAACTATAATGCCAACAATTTCCTTTATACATTTTGTTTAATTGGGTTGATATATAGTGTGTTTTGTACCTGATATCTTGTTATTCAACTCATATCATGTGTTGTACCTGATTTCATATTACTAAATTTTACATAAAGGTGCTGGTCTACTTTTGTTTGATCATACAGTGCTATGGTTTGGATGTGGTTTATCACTGCCAAAACTTGTGTTCAAATTTGATTCCCAATGTGACAGTCATGGGAAGAGGGGCCTAATGGGAGATATTTAGGCCATGGGGGCAGATCCCTTATGAGTAAATTAATGCTTTCCCACTGGGGTGAGTGAATTCTTGCTCTCATGGTAATGAATTAGTTTCGGTGAGGTTGAGTTGTTAAAAATAGTCTTGTTTCCTTGGTTCTCTCTCTCTGTCTCTCTCACTTCCTCTCTTGCCATGTGATCTCTTTGCATATGCCTGCTTCCTTTCTGCTTTCTGCCATGAGTGGAAGCAGCATGAGGCCCTTGCCAGATACAGCCACCCAATCTTGAACCTTCCAGCCACCTGAATTGTGAGCCAAATAAGCCTCTTCTCTTTACAAAATGCGTACAGTCAGATATTGTTATAGCAACACAAAAGGGACTAAGCCATGCACTATTGGCACTAAAATGCATTAAGTTTATTTTCAGGTAGATGTTGTGCACCTTTGATTATTAACCTGTCATCTTTAAGTTGCAAGTGACAGAAACTCAATTCAAACTAGTTTAAGTTAAAACTAAACTAAACCGCATAAAAGGCTCATATACAGGAAAGTCCAGGCATGACTAGATCCAAACATCTAAAGAAGTCATCTGGCCATCCTCCACACTTGGTTCTGATTTTTTTTTTTTTTCCTAGATTGGTTTTCTCTTCAAAGCAGATTTTCTTTGTGGGGATATTCTCTTAGGGGTGAGGGGCAGTGAGGAGAATAAGATGGTGGATTGATGTTTCAGCTTAGTTCATCATAGCCAATAACCCAAAGCCTGGCAGCAATCTATATAAAATTTTGGAGAAGTGCTTTGATTTTGTCCAGATTGGCTCATATTCCATCTTTGAGCTAAACAGTCAAGGAGTTCCCCCAAAGGAAGGGGACATTAAGAAAGGATGTAGGAAGCAGGTAAGGAATCATGGTTACTGAGAATACAAAAGTAACAGATGTCCACTGCACCCTATTTGAATTTGAGTAGCAAGAGATTTCTACTTTAAACTAACAGGAGGAGGAAAATTCAAAATTAACCTGCAAGTCCTCATTGGCATTAACTAGAGATTTTAATTTCTGCTTTATACCATTGCTGCTTTGATGCTTGGAGTTGCCATTATAGGCTTTTGAGGTATTTTATTTGTTTTTTAATGCTCTCCATTTATGTTTGACATTATGTTGCTGCTGGTTTGATCAGATGTACATAGCACCATTTCCATCACCAATTTGGAAATTTTTTCCCAGTTTCATCATTTGAGAAATACTGATTTTGAAATTAGAGTTGTACCAGAGAAAGTGCTTCAAATGTGAAGACTACTTGAAAAAAAAAATTGGCCTTAAATAAATCATTGGGTTATCTGCACTTTGCTACAAAGTATTTTCTTTAAACGGCATATGTTCTTTAAAATGAACTATTGATATAAACATTTTCTGTACTGGAGTGTCGTGGGCTGCACTTATTTTGAGCTTTAGAACCAAATGCATCCTTTACAATAGCCTTTGACGAGATATTACATATCTCTGTTTCCAGTTCCATTTTCTTGCTGAGTAAAGTACCAAAACTCCTTAGCCTGACATTTGGTAGCCTCCATAACTTGGTCCTAACCTAATTTTACAGTTTACTCCTTTGTTCTCTCTCCGTCTTTCTTTTCATCCTTTGTTTCAGTAACACAAAACAACATAAATGACCAATTTAATTCTTCTGCATGTGGATTTACAGTTTTCCCACCACCACTTAATGCAGAAACTATCCTTTCCTCATTGTGTCTTGATAGGCTTCTTAAAGATAGTTGACCATGTATGTGTGGGTTTATTTCTTGGCTATATTCTGTTCCATTGGTTTCTGTTTGTTTTTATAGAATATAATGCTGTTTTGGTTACTATAGCTTTTTAATACAGTTTGAAATCAAGAAGTGTGATACCTCCAGCTTTGTTCTTCTTTCTCAAGATTGCTTTGAGTATTTAGGGTCTTTTCTAGTTCCATATGAATTTTAGGATTGTTTTTTCTATTTCTGTGAAAAATGCAATTGGAATTTTGAAAGGAATTGTGTGGAATGTATAGCTTGCTTTGGGTAGGGATGGTACAATAATTTCAACAATATTAATGCTCCCAATCCATGAGCACAGTGTATCTTTCCATATATTTGTGTATTTTTCAGTTTCTTTCATCAGTGGTTTATAGGTTTCAGAATATAGATCTTTGACTTCCTTGGTTAAAAGTATTCCTAAAGGCTGGGTGTGGTGGCTCATGCCTGCAACCTTAACACTCTGGGATGCTGAGATGGGAGGATCACTTGAGCTCAGGACTTTGAAACCAACCTGAGCAAGAGTGACACCCCATCTCTACTATAAATAGAAAGAAATTAGCCAGACAACTAAAAATAGAAAAAAAATTACCTGGGCATGGTGGCACAGGCCTGTAGTCCCAGCTACTTGGGAAGCTAAGGCAGGAGGATCCCTGGAGCCCAGGAGTTTGAGGTTGCCATGAGGTAGGTTGACACCATGGCACTCTGGCCCAGGCAACAGAGCAAGATTCTGTCTCCAAAAAAAAAAAAAAGCATTCCTAAGTATCTTACTGTTTTTGATGCTATTATAAATGTGATTATTTCTTTTTTGAATTGTTCATTTTTAGTGTCTAGAAACACAACTGATCTTTGTATGTTGATTTTGTTTCTTGCATATTTACTGAATTGATTTATTAATTCTAACAGTTTTGGGTGGAGTCTTTTGGGTTTCTGTATATTAAATCATATCGTCTCCAAACAGACTATTTTACTTCTTTCTTTCTAATTTGAGTGCATTCTTTTTGGACTAATTGCTATGTCGAATAGAAGTAGTAAGAATTAAGAATGGGGACCTGTGTCTTGTTTCTCATCTAAGCAGAAAGGTTTCAGCTTTTCACTGCTGAGTATGATGTAACCTGCAGACTTATCATATATGGCCTTAATTATGTTGAGATGCATTCATTCTATACCAAATTTGTTGAGAGTTTTTATCATGAAAGGATATAAATTTTGTCAAGTGCTTTTTCTGTATCTATTGAGATGATCGTATGATTTTTATCCTTTATTTTGTTAATGTGGTATATCACATTTATTGATTTGTATATGTTGCACCATCTTTGCATCCCAGGGATAAATCCCACTTGATCATGATATATGATCCTTTCAATGTGCTGTTAAATTCACTTTGCTAGTATTTTGTTGAGAATTTTTGCATGTAAGTTCAGGGATGTTGGCCTTTAACTTTCTTTTATTGTTCTTATCTAGCTTTGCTATCAGAGTAATGTTCTTCTCATAAAATAAGTTTGGAAGTATTTCTTTTCAGTTTTTTGGAAGAGTTAGAAAAAAATTGGTGTCAATTCTTTTAAGCATGTGGTAGAGTTATCCAGTGAAGCCATCTGGTCCTGGGTCCGGAACCTGGGTCCTGGTTCCAATTTTGTTGGAAAGTTTTTAGTTACTGATTCAATCTCCTTAATTGCATTGGTGTGTTCATATTTTCTATTCTTTCATGATGCAGTCTTGGTCGGTTGTAAGTTTCTAGAAATTTATTCATTTATTCTAAGTTTTACAATTTGTTGGCATATAATTTTTCCTAATTATTTTATTATGATCCTTTATTTCTGTGGTATCAGTTATAATTCATTTATAATTTTGAGTCTTTTTTTCTTGATTAGTCTAGCTAAAGTTATATCAATGTGTTTATCTTATCAAAAAAACAACTTTTAGTTTTGCTGATTTTTTTTCTCTTCTATATTCTACTTTATTTCTGCTCTAATCTTTATTATTTCCTTCTATCTGTTAACTTTGGGCTGATTTTGTCCTTCTATTTCCTTGAGGTGTAAAGTTAGGTTGTTTGAGAACTTTTCTTAATGTAGGTGTTTATCACAGTAAACTTTTCTCTTAGAACTGCTTTTACTGCCTCTCTTAAGATTTGATATGTTGTGTTTCCATTTTCATTTTTCAAGATATTTCTTGATTCCCCTTTTGATTTTTTTCTTTGATGCATTGTTTGTCTCAGGAGTGTGTTGTTTAATTTCCATATATTTGTGAATTTTCCAAATTCATCCTGTTATTGATTTCTAGTTTCATGCCATTATGGTTGGAAAAGA